ATTTTTAAAATCATTTATTTATACAACTTAGGTTAAACATCTTATATTAAGAAAACAAAATGCTCTAAGATTGATTAGATAAAATTCTATTTTAAAATATATATTAAATTTATGAATTTTAAGTTAAAATAAATTAGAATAATAAATTTAGCTTTAGAATATATTAGTTATTTTAAAAAGCTAAATATTTAAAATAGTTGTAGATTTTTAATAATATGTTTATTATTTTATTTCTTCAAAAAACAAATAATAGATAAAAAATTATTTAAATTTTGTATTAACCATCTATAATTTGTTTTATAATAAGTTTCTTTTTATTTATTTAACTTTTACAAAAATATTAAGTATACTGATTATTTACACATAAATACTTTTTAGAAGTTAAAGAAATTATCCTGTTAAAGTATTGGATCATAATTATATAGATTTTAGATATTATAAATTTTAAAAAATAATGTCATTATTTTTGACACCGTCTAAATTATAATTATGTCTAAATTCTACACTTAATAAGACTTAATAAAACAGTTAATAATTTTTTCTTTCAAATTCATTGGTTTTAAAGTTTATAATTTATATTTTTTAAAATTTTAATATCTGTATAATGATTTAAGAATAATAATTAAAAATATATTTTATAATATTTTTAGATTTTTAGGTATATATGTATTAAAAGTTATTAAATTAATTTTAATCTATAGGAGGTTAGATATTAGTACCAAGTTTTGTTATCTCTCTTTACATGTCATTGAATTGAGTATATAAATCTATTAATTAGCTAAATATTAAATTTTCTCATGTTATTTGGTACAAAAAAATATATTTTATATAAAAATTAATGAATTATTTAATATTATTGCTGATTTTATTTTTAAAGGATGTTGTTTTAGATTGAAAAAAAAATAAGAAGGATGTTTAATATGAATTTAATTATTTAAATTCTAAAATTTCAAGAAATGAATGAAAATCTTCAATGAATCTATTTATAAAATTCATATTTATATTTAAAGATATATATATATAACACAAATAATCTTTTTTATTTAAAACATCTTTTGTATTTGGTAATCATTTAGTTTTTGAGTAGTTTTACAACTTGTTTGCTTACAATAATTTCTATAATTTCTACAATATAGAAAATGGAGGTATAAATATTTAACAGCTATCAAAAAGTTTTTCTAGTAGTTTACTTGAAAAATCTTGAAAAAAAAGATTTTTTAGAATCTTTAATCTAAAATTTCAAATGACAAAATAATAATGATATAAAGTTTTGTGTTAGTGAGTATTTTAGATATAAAGCTTTAAGTATTTAATTAGCCAAAGTGCATGTGTATGTTTGTTTATATATATATATATATATATATATATATTTATATATATATGGGTAATACATATTAAGATATAATCTTTACATTTAACACTCAAAAATATTAATCCATTCAAATAAAAAGTAATTTTAAAAATCTATTAGGAGTTTGTATAATACCTTAAAAGTTAAAATTATTTCGAAATAAAAAATATATATTCTCACCTTCCAATAATAATAATATAGAAATCAATATTAAGATAAAAATATATCTATTCAAAATTTAAATTTTTAGAATGGAAATTTTTTTAAAATGATTTTAAGAAAAACATAAAATAAAATTGCAATAAATATAAAGAATGTTACTATTACAACCATGACTTTTGTTGTTGCTGCCACAACTTGCCATCTACCACATGCTACCATGGTTCATGCTAATTCCACAACACCTTGCCATAAACTTGTGTTGCATACAGTAAAGCACTTTTTTTAATTACTAGTGTTGTTGCCAAAATTAATTTTACCAGCATGTGACTCTTAATTGATTCCTTTTGCTGCCATTTGTAAAAAAAGGGGTGGAAAAAGAATCTTTTCTAAAACATTAAAAATGCAAATATCTATTTATTTGTAAATAAAGTTATATATAATTTTTTTATACAATCTATAAATATTTCTAAAATTTTAAAAGTATTTAAATTAAATCAATATGATACGTAATTATTTGCTATCAAATTTTCTACCATGTAATTTATTTTTTCAAAAACCTAATCTTAATAGGATTAATACAAACAAACTTGATCAAATATTGTAGAAGAAAATAGAGTTTTACACTTTAGAAAAGACATCTAATAATAGGTAAATAAATAAATATGTTTATTTTTATATACTTCTATTAAAAAATAAGTAATGTTTTAGACTCTATATTTGACACTTGAACAAATGGAGACCAATGGAAGTAATTAAGATTCATTGACTGCTAAATTTAGTTGTGGTAACAATGCCAATGGTTGAAAAAAGTATCTCATGAAGTACAACAATGGTTAAAAATACTTCTTAGATTTTTAAATTTGAGTTTTACCTAAATATTTTATTTTACAGATAATGATTAGAAACTTACTAACATTTTGTGAATCTTGTACTTTAAAAACAATTAACATGTATATTCTAGATTTTCATATAAACTTTTTAATCATTCTAATTTTATGTTTTTTTATCTTATGATTTTTTATTATAATTTTACAAAAGTATTTTCTTAGAAGTTTTTATTGTAAGTATATATATAATATTTTTTACAAAATTTGTATCTATAGCTTTTATAACAAAATCTTATCTCAATTATACATATAAATTATATATATATATATATATATATATATATATATATATATTAAAGCTATGTTTATTATAATTACTCTAAAAATATTTCAAAATGTCTTGTAGAGATATGTAACATAGTATACATCAAGAATGTGAATTTAAATCAAAACATGCAAAATAAATAACAAAATAGTCTTTGTTGATTTTTTAAGTTTATAATATCGCATCAATTGTTGTTTATTAATATATTTTCAATATGACAATTATAAGAGTAAATATAGTTATCTTCATACAACAAAAATTCAAATACATTTTGTGATTTTTTTAGAGTGTAATATGATTCACATAGGATTATTTTATGCATTTAAAACCTTTTTTTTTTATAGTTTTACAATTTATGTTGAGAATAAAGAGCTGCTCTTCAACTAAAAAATAATGATATTATTTATATATACTAAAATCTCATTAAACTAATCTAATTAGGAAAAAGATTAAATATGTTTATGCATGTAAATATGTAATTTATTAGATTAACAATTCAATATTTTATTTTTATGCTGTTGTATAGTATATTATCCTAATTATTATATACAAAGAAATGTACTTAGGATATAATATATATATATATATATATATATATATATATATATAAGAAATATAAAACATAATAGATTCAAAAAAAAATCATTTGACTTTAATGAAACTAAATCTTCTGTTTTTGTGAAATAATTTGGACTTCAAAAATGCATTTAAAAATTATTGGAATGAAATTTTATTGGCTAGTTAGACCAAAAATACAAAAATGTTTTAGATAAAACTTTTCTTTATTAATTTTTTAGATATTATGTGTGTGTGTGTGTATATATATATATATATATATATATATATATACATACAAACATATACAAGTTTAAATAATAAATCGTGTGGGTTCATAAATGACATCTTTCAAAAAAGAAAGAAAAAGAAAGGAAAAACAAACACTCTCAATAACTCTTGATTTAGTTTTTAAAACCAAAAATATTTTGTGATAATTCAAATAAAATAATTGTTTAGAATATATATATATATATATATATATATATACACATACATATGTGTCTGAAATCTAATAAAACGATTGAGGAAACAATATGATAGATAAGTTATAAAAATAAAAAAAATAAAAACTTATGCTATAGAATAGACAGAAGGTTAAGAATATAATGTATGGCACCAACAAGATGTTGATATTTTAAAACCTGGCTGCAATTTAATGTTACGCCTTCTCTTTCTTTAATATATAAAACTAAAATAAACCAAGCTGACTAAAGATTATATCAATAAATTTGACTTGAGGTTTTGGGATTTGATAATTCGGTGGTTGGAAACTAATACTAAGTTCTACGTTTCCCTTAAAACAATTCCTTAAAACTTGGATCTTTAAAACATACACCAAATATTTTATAAAATCTGATGTAGAAAAATTTCCTAGTGGCAAGATAATTCTCTTGTTTCTAATTCAGTTTTATTCTATTTATACTTTATAAGATTTATGCAAATCTATAAATCTCTTTATGAAAAGCTTTACTTAAATTTGAGATGCAAAAAGAAAGACCAAGAGAAATTTAATAAAGTGATGTATACTATTTCAGTTCTAATACTATTTGCATCAAACCCTTCTAATATTTTCTTTCACGTGATTTCATTAAATAGAACTTTAAAAATATAAATACTACTAGGTAAACTTTACTTTTGAGTTGTTGACAATTGGTGTTTTAAATAATTTAAAAATTAAAATAGGATTTTAAATGTACAAGGGATAGCAGTAATAACTTTTCTTCAAAAAAAAATTGGGCTTGAAGGTTATTTCATAAAACCAGTGTTGGAACAAAGATTCATCCATCACTTGGACCACGTTCATCCATCATTCAAATGAATGAATACTCGTCATGCGAATTTAACCGACCAGTTTCACACAACGACGTGGAGTAATTCTGATCCCCTCTTCCAGGTTCACATTCCCCGCCTGAATGCACAAAGTCCTTTTCACACCACCCAGCGAAAAAGTTACAATTGTACTTTTACTTTTTTCTCGAATGCTCGACACTCCTCAGCAGCGCTTTTTCATTCCCGCCAAATTAGTGACGAACGAATGACAATAACGAATTTCATCCATCCAGAGCGCATTCAACTTCATGAATGAACATGTGGATCCTTGTGAGGGATTGAGACAGAGATGATCATGGCGGGAAGTTCAAATCTCATCCCTGTTTATCCAATTATTCGTTTAGATGAATGAAGAATTCATTTACGAATTCCTCATGCGTTCTTCCTCGCCTTATTCTTCTTCCTCTTTCTCCGTTCCGCCGCCTCGCCGAACTCAGTGTTTTCAGAGCTCCGGGACACGGCAATTTGGCCACAGAATTGAGTCTCGAGGGGTGTAATGCGCGAGGATTGCTTTTGAGAGTTTGATAGGAAGAAGGATTCAGAAGGATCAAGAAGGATTTCAGGCTGGTGTTGAGATTTGGTGGCCATGGCGGGGTTGCTGCTGCAAGTGGGGCGGTGTGGAGGGACTTTTTCGCTCTCGTCTTTGGCATTCTCGTCGTCTGCTCACGTAAAGGGATCGTCTCCAGGGGTCCGTGTCTCAGTTTCAGAGCAGAAGGATGTTGAGAAACAACGATCCGGAAGTCGCTGCCACGTCGTCCAGGTCTCTGCGAGCCTGCAGAGCATGATGTCGGACATGAGCAGGAAAGGTGAGTGCAAGGGCGGAGTCACGTTCAATCGCAGTCTCATGATTGTTGAGAGTTTTTAATATTGATTTTTTTTTTTTTTTTTTTTTTTTTTTTTTGAGCAACGTGTTGAATTCGTGCTGGTTTTGAATTTTTGGTTGTAGCGCCGAAGGGGCTTTTCCCACCCGAGCCCGAGGCGTACAAAGGTCCGAAGCTGAAGGTTGCGATCATTGGCGCTGGGCTTGCTGGCATGTCTACGGCAGTGGAGCTTTTGGAGCAAGGCCACGAGGTGATTCTCCCCTCTGGTGGCATTCTCAATTGCAGTTTGTGTTTAGGATTCCTTACTCTCTTGGTTTTTCAATATCAAAGGTCATTGCATTGAAATTGTGAAAGAAGGTTTGATGTTTTTCGTGCCAAGAATTTGAGCACTAATATAATGTTTGTGTAGGTGGATATATATGAGTTGCGGAAGTTTATCGGTGGAAAAGCAGGGTCCTTCAAAGACAAGAATGGAAACCATATCGAGATGGGGCTGCACGTCTTTTTTGGATGCTACAATAATCTCTTTCGCCTTTTGGCTAAGGTACTGTCGTTGAATATATTTTACTCTGTGCGATTTTGATTATTTGGTTTTATATATATATATATATATATATATATATACATAAACAGCTGGGGGTAACAGTACCACGATTCTATAACTTTCTGATTGCTGTGGTTACGTGTTGATCATTTTTCTACATTTGATCCGATTTTCTTACATTACTACACCAAAATCCTAAGGTTATAATTCCTGGTTATTATTCACAATTTGGTTATTTGCAGGTTGGAGCAGACAATAATTTGCTACTGAAGGATCACACTCATACTTTTATTAACAAGGGTGGCGACGTCGGGGGTCAGTTATTCCTCTGCCATTCATTTTCTGGATTCACAGCTTCATCACAGGAAATTTAATTTGAACTGCCAGTTGGTTTGAAGAATTATTCAATATATTCCTCTTCGAATATTGAGTTTCATGGTCTCCATACTTGATCAAGGTTGGCTGCACTAGAATGTGCAAAGAGCTCTTGAAATGTGCTGTAGTGAGAAACATGTATGAGTGTTCGTATGCGAGCTTCATGTGTATTACAAGATCATAATGCAAACATTGTTCAGTAGTTAATCCATGCATCTATAGATCGGTTGTCAGGATGTTACACAGGGCTTCGTTGAATTACATGTGACTTAGTATCTGTTTCTCACATGTTATAAGTGGTGCTCTTCCGCAGAGCTGGACTTCAGATTTCTAGTCGGAGCTCCTCTGCACGGCATGAAAGCATTTATCGCCACAAACCAACTTGAAGTGAGTTCTAAATTCGTCTTCTGAGAAACTAAATGGCCATTCGCATAAATCTACGTATAGATGAAAGGGCCTATTATGTCTGAAGAGTGACATCAAAGCGTCTGACAAACAATTGCGTTACGCAGCCTTTCGATAAGGTAGCGAATGCAGTGGCTCTGGCAACTAGTCCAGTTGTGCGAGCATTGGTTGATCCGGAGGGGGCTATGCGCGACATTCTGGATTTGGACAAGGTAGTAATTCTTTGTACACAGCTATATAGATCTTTAAATAAAATTGGTTAGAGTACAGAAATGTTTGGGATCATAAATGGGGTAAATGAAAAAGATTCAAAGAATGGGCTTGTAGCCATCTATTATTCGAACAATTTCATGTTCTTCATTGCTTATTAAGCAAAACAATCATTCTGAAACAAATTAAGCAAAACCCATGTTCTTCATTGCTTAATTTCCCAATTTCAAAGCAATGAAGAACATTAAGGATCTGTGATAAATGTGCACAGGTGAGCTTCTCAGTTTGGTTCATTTCTCACGGCGGAACTCGCGTGAGTATCAAGAGGATGTGGGATCCTATAGCGTATGCCCTAGGCTTCATAGATTGTGATAAAATCAGCGCCCGGTGCATGCTCACCATTTTTTCTTTCTTTGCAACCAAAACTGAGGCATCCGTGTTGCGTATGCTTAATGGATCTCCTGATGAACGCTTGAATGGGCCCATTGCAAAGTATATCAAGGAGAATGGTGGCCGGTATGACCATTTTGGGAATTTGAGTTTTAACCTCTGGTATTTTACATAATTAGGCAAATTCTTATAAATAAGGTGTTAGAAAGCTGATTCTTTCCATATTCTTAAGCTCTTTCTGCTGGCAGCTTCCACTTGCGATGGGGATGTCGTGAGGTTCTTTATGACCGCACTTCCGAGGGAAAGACGTATGTGACAGGATTAGTGATGACAAAGGCAACTGAGAAGCAGATTGTCAAGGCAGATGCGTACGTGGCAGGTGATGACCACTCAGATGCCATTCGGTAGCGTATGGATGTCTTTGCTGTTCTTAGTCCTAAGCATTCTGATTATTTCATTTCCACGGGGTGTACAGCATGTGATGTGCCAGGAATACATAGACTCTTGCCAAAGCCGTGGCGTGAGTGGGAATTTTTCGACAATATCTACAAGCTTCTGGGAGTCCCCGTGGTGACAGTGCAGCTGCGGTTCAATGGCTGGGTTACTGAAATGCAGGATTTGGAGGCTTCAAGGTAATTTAATTGGCAAGATAGAGTTTCAAGTGCAATACAATTTCTCAAAACCATGATCAAGCAATTTATCATAGAAGCAGACAAATTTAGGTAATGTTTCTGGTGTGAGGTGATGCAGGCAGTTGCAACGAGCTGTTGGGTTGGACAATCTTCTGTATTCAGCTGATGCTGACTTCTCATGTTTCGCGGATCTCGCATTGACTTCACCTGAGGATTACTTCAAAGAAGGAGAAGGATCTCTTATTCAGTTAGTCTCTCAGTCTTTATTTTTATTCAGGTTGTGACGCTTGAGTCTTTGTTTGGGATGGATTCTGCATTGGACGCTTTGGAGTCCATAATAACCGACATGGTTATGTGTGAGCAGAGCGGTTTTGACTCCGGGAGACCCATACATGCCCTTGTCCAACGAACAGGTGGTGAAGAACGTGCATGAACAGGTCTGTATTCTTCGTCAAACAGGTCCCTGGTGCTTTTTTTCTTTTTTTTTCCTTTATTTCTTTTTTCTGCTTTGGAGGTTGTGACGAAGAAGTGATTTGGTGAAGAACAAAATGAAGCAACTGATGTCGTGATCAAGAAGGGGGTTGTGAAAGTTCGAAAATCCCACATTTTCACCATAGCTTCTAGAGACTTCTAAGTCCTACCAGTGGACATTCAGCATAATCTATATTGATGTCTAATATTTTTTTCACTTGAATAACGTCATTCTCCAGGTTCTGCGTCTCTTCCCCTCAGCTAATGAGCTTGAGATGACTTGGTCATCAGTGGTGAAAATTGGGCAGTCATTGTACCGTGAGGCTCCAGGCATGGATCTCTTCAGACCGGACCAGAAGACACCTGTCTCCAACTTCTTCCTCTCAGGCTCCTACACCAAGCAGGTACACTACTACTTGAACACATTACCGAGAGGCAGCAGACGTGGTAACAAAATGCTTATATTGAACGGAGGAATTCCATCTTATGTGTTTTCTTTGTAGGATTTTTCAAATAGAGTGGGATTTTGCGTGCCTTCAAACGTATGTCTGACAATGCAACGTCTTCAGTTCAATTTCTTCGTTAAGTGGAGTAGACGTTCTCATAGCAGTGTGTGAAATCGTTTGACATACAGGATTACATTGACAGCATGGAGGGAGCGACTCTTTCAGGACGGCAGACGTCTGCTCGAATCAACGAAGTGGGTCCATTCCTTCACGACCTGCGACATAAAGTCGCCAAGACAAAATCAGAGGCGTCCCCAGGATCAGCTACCGATGAGTTGACATTTGTGTAAAAGGTGATCTGTGAGGATTTCAGTTTTAGAAACTTGTGGTTATATTGCCTCAAGGAAAAGCTTGTGGAGGCACTGATCCCACCTCACTAGTACAAGCACGAGGAGACGGAAGCTATTGTAGACTCATTTACTTCATTTTTTATATTTTATAGTTTTTTCTCATTTGAACACGTACAGTGCCGAGAATGTACCCAACAACGTGCTAGTAAACAAATGGGTTAGGAAGACTTATGTAGACTTATGGTAGAGGTAGCAAACAAGCTGCCGAAAGGGATAAACAGTAAACAAATTGGAAAACACGGACTTACTCTGAACTCTCACCTCAAGTTGGAAATGTTGCAACTCATCCTTGAGTGATGAGCACAATGTGCGTGTTTGTCATAGTTTTTGAGACTTCTGCTCACGTTTGCAATGGTTTGCTACAGACTATTTAAATGAGAATAATAACTTGCAGATTTTGCCAAATGGCCTAGTTTTCTAACTCATCATGTAGAACATACTTTAGTCATTAAATATTTTTGTAATTCTGAATTTGTATTGTTTCAAATTTGAACACTATAATAAGTAATTTTCTTTTTATTGAATAAAAAGAATGCTTATGAGTGATTTTTAATTTATTCATGAATCTATTATTTGTACACCATGTATGTTGTAGTTGTTACATGTAACAACTTTTAGCATTTATTGTATGTTTGTATGTTGTATGGGATTTGGTTCTAATTTTTTGACCATAGTTTAACATTTAATTCAAAAATAGTAACTTATTAGTTCTTTATTTATATTTTAATTTATAAAAAAAATATAATTAGTGTTATCATAATAATGCATTTTTAAAATAATATATGTATTCATATATATATTTACATAAACATTTGAACTTACAACTTTCTTGTGATTTTTTTAACTATGGAGATTTTAACATATTTAAAAATTATTAACTAATACAAAATTTCTATTAAAAAATAGTTAAAAAATTCAACAAAAATTGAATATGTAAAAAACTAAATAATATAATATAAAATATGGATTCTACATACAGCATATATAGTATAAAAAATTATTTATATTAAAAAATCTATATTAATTAAAATAATATATTAAAACATCAATAAAATATTAATACAAACTTTATATATTTAAATTATCTATTTGTTTATTTTAAATAATTTAATAAATTTTAAATATATATATAGATATAGATATATATATATATATATATAGATATATATATTTAGTTATTTGATTTTGACTTCTTATTCAAATTATTACTATTTGAATAAGAATTAGTTTAGTTAAAATAAAGTAAATATTATTTAAACTTATTTTTTAATATTTCCAAATTTTATAATATTTATATTTTTTAAAATCATAAGATATAAAATATTTTTTTGATAGATTTCACAAAAATAAAAGGTGCATATGTATTACTTTCATGAATCTCATTTGCCAACTATTCTAATGTAACATAATATGTTCTAAAGAATCTTTCATAAATCCTTTTTAATGATCAAAATGAGCTTTTATTACACTTTTAATGCCTCCAAGTTGAAAAAGGTCAAGATTACTTCGAAGTTTATCTATCCACTACTTTCTTTTAAATATCCACTACTATTGATCTTTTTCAACATCATTTCATATGCACTTCTATCTACTACTCTATTGTAAAGAAAGCAATGTACATTATGACCAAATTACAAACAAATTACAAAATAGTGGATGGATAAATTTTGTAGTAATCTTGACTTTTTTTAATATTTCCAAAAGAGTGTATGAAGATTGAATTGGAGGAACTTACCACCTCATTAGAGAATATTGTGCAAATTGCCTATGACCATGTACAATCCATGGCATAGACTTAGAATATGGGTTATTTAGCTTTAATTTATATATATATATATATATATATATATATATAATATTTGAAAAATAGTCTAAATATAATACTTTATAATAAAAAATAAACATATATTTATATAAATTATATTTTTAAGTTTCTTATGGTTTTTATTGTTTTTTATGAAAAATCTATTCTTTTTATTAATTTATTCTTTTTACACATTTTATCTCTTTAAATTCTATCTAATCTAATATATTTTATAAAATTATCTTATAAATTTAGTATTTAATATTAACTATTCTATTTCTAATATATAAATTATATTTTCATAACTATCTTGAAAACTTATCTTTATATTAGAAAAAAAAAAAAAATAGGTCACAAGGTATAAGATTGTGACATCAAATCAATAGGATTCATAGCAAGAAATACAAATTCAAAATAAAAAGTTGAAAAATGAAGATTTCTAATTGTAGTAAGGACCTTGAAATTTCATAACTCTAGACCATCTAATATAAGTTTCATACTTCTACCAAACCTTTCAAATTATTTTAATTTTTTAAAAGATATTACAACTTCAAATTATAAATTTTTAACTCAAGTACTTTTAGACACTAGAACTTTAGTATGTTTTATATACAAAAGCTTAATATTACAACTAGAATTCATTCTTTGAAGAAAAATCCAATCAACTCTAATAAAAGTTAATTGTATTCAACAACTTATATTTAGAGACTTCATAGAAGAAACCAAACTTTCAAAAATAGCATTAAAAGATTGAATATGTAAAATTTTCCTCAATATCATCTACTATCCTTCAAATCTAATGATATTTGGCATCCTTTGATTTGAATTACATAATCCTGATATTGATTGGAAATTACAAAAGATCACTTCAAGATTTAGTTTCAATTTTAAATAACCATCTTGACCTTTATTTGTTGAAACTAAGGCATAAATACGTGTCACAAAAGATAAAAATACATTAGTCATTTTTATAACATAAATGTTTTATTCAAATAAGAATTTTAATAGAATCTCAAGGCAATTTAAAGAATATTAAGATGTATTGTATAAGAAGAATGTTGATGTATTGCCAAAATACTCACCTTATGATTCTACGATTAATCTTCAAGAAGATGCTTAACCACCATTTGGACCAATTTATAACTTGTCACCAAATGAACTTATTTCTTTAAAAGAATAAATTGATAAAAATCTTATAAAGAATTTTATTTAATATTTTTTTTAGATGTATACTAATCTTTTTTGTGAAGAAAAAAGATGGATTCTTAAAAATATATAAATATACCAATTATTGTGGACTTCTTCAACCCCTATATATTTCAAAACATCTCTAATCATTTAACTTAATAGATTTAATTGCAAAACTTTTAATTTCAAATTCTTTTGATTCTATCTTTGTGATAGTAGATTCTTTTATCAAAATAAAATATTTGTATCATATTCAATAATAATTTTTGATAATAAAATAGCTAATTTCTTATCATTAGTAGATTTTTTTATATAATAATATAATACATTCTTCTACTCAAGAAACTTCATTTTTTGCCAACTGTGGTTAACATTGGTAATTTAATATTTTTATTTTTTTGAATTAAAAATCCAATAGCAAATCATTTAACAAATAGAATCAAAGAATTCTATAAAATAATAAAGATTCAATTAAAAGAGGCTAATTAACAACAAATAAATAATGTATATGTTTTTGAAAAAAATAATCTTTATACAAAGTTAGTGATAAGATGTGGTTACTTTGTCATAATATCAAGACTAATCAACATTGTGATAAATTGGATTATTGAAGGCTTGGCTTATTTTTTATTAAAAGATTAATTAATTGAATGACATATCAATTGTAATTACCACTATCAATTAAGATATATTGTGTATTCTACATATCACTTATTTAGCTTTACACAAAAATCATCATATTGCAAAGAAAGAAATCACAATCATTTCTTGTTGAAATAGATAATAATTAAGAAGTTAAAATAGAAGAACTCTTGAAAACAAAGTGAAGATTAAAAAATTTAAAATATCTACACCAATATATGAGAATGTATATTAGAGCTATGTGAGAGTCTAGCAAATATATTAAAACTTCTCTATGCTTTTTATCAAAAATATTTATTGAAACCAAGGACTAATTATTGACAAAAGAATGGTATAAATTCATGAGAAATAAGTTTAAGAATCAACTCCTAGAATTCTTTTGGCAACATAAAGAACTAACAACTAGTAAATTCATCTTAAAAAGTGTCATTTACAAAATTATTAGATAAAACACTTAAATTGTCTCAATTTCAATAATATCACAATTATGATTTTTTAAATTCAAAAAATACATAGTCTTCTTTAAATAGATAGAAAGATAGATTGTATTTGATGCCATAATTTTAGAAAAGACTCTTGATACTTACTATATTTATTGGAGGTAGCTACTACACTTGATAGAATATAAAAGATATTGTTTAAAGGTAGCTATAAAGATCTTAATAATAATCAAATAATTGGATGGTCATCTTATCTTCATATAGAATACCATCAATTTTTAAAGAGACTTATCAATTATATCTATGCAGAATAAAGATCATAGTTTGTTGCTAATATCATTAGATAGATCTTAGACTTTATCAATTTATAAAGCAATGACATAATTATTTGTTGATATTATTTTCTAAAAAAAGAGATAATGTAATAGATAGCAATGTCCACTAATAATTTTATTCATATAAGTAAAATTATATATAAGTAAATAGAATTAAGTTAAATTATTGATATCTTATTGGAAAGCTTTTTAGAAGTATTGTAGAATTTACATGTATTTATAAGTGATTAATAGGTTGAAAAATTAGATAACAAATTGGCCACATGTCATTTATTTTATTGTTTATATTACAAAATAGTCATATGGCACATATATCAAAAACTTACCAAAAAAATTAGAGATGTGATTTATAAGTTGGACACGTGTTATATAACTTACATAATATTTTGATGTAATGTTTTTAAAGATAATATATATAGATAGAAGAGTGAGACCTTTTTTATTCTTCTCAACATGCTTATTGTTTTCTATCTTGATTTAAGACTTTCCAATCATTTTATATTTAATCATAGTTATTTTAATTTTAATTCTATATTTATTTTTTAATTATTTATTTTCTTTCTTTTAGTAATATGAGATTGTATTTTTATTTTTAAAATTTTATTATAATTTATATTTCAAACAATTAAAAAGTTTGATCTTTTACAACTTCATTTATATTAGTTGCTTCTTCACACTTTCTACCATGGCTACTTTTGATATTTTTCTTGACTATCTTTCAACTACCACTTTGTAACTTTGTCTTATTTATTAAAATTCATAATTTCAATCTTTTAAATGCCACCTACTCTTATCTTCTTAAACATATGATTAGTAAACTTTGATGCTTTTCATATCTAATGATATTTATAGGTGACATTCTTTACTCTTTTGATCCTCAACTTGATCAATATTGTTCTAGTAATCTCTTTAGTTTGAAATTGA